TCTCGCCTTCATCTCCTTCAATTCCCACCATGTTTGCCTTTTCTTTGTTGAGTTACAAGAAGCATATACATTAACTAGTATGATGTTGTAGCCCCCTTCCACACACACCCCTTCCATCCCTAGGTAGCCCTCTCTAGAGAAATGATTAGTAATAGAAAACTTGGACTTACTCCATCTGCATAAAAGTCCACCAGTTGTATTGTTTGCTGGCTGAAACACATACTCAATATCATCCGCCCCCCACATTGTTTGCACCAACTGCTGACTAATATCTACGGATTTTGTTTCCTGAATACATACCACCTACACATCCTCCTTGCAAATTAATTTCTGATATACCTCCATTTGAGCTTCCTCCCAAGCCCCTTGACATTGTATGATAAAATTTTCATGGATTACCTACCTTATTCGCTCTCTTATCATCTCCATGCTTATCACTTTCCTTTTGATCCCTAATCTCCATGCTGATGATTTTTTTACCATGTCCTCTTGATCACCTTTGTGTGTGACTCTGAGAGTTTTCTGCATTTCCCATATTTTTTTTGCTTCCAATATCTCATTACGCAGCCAGAGTATCCCATTGCAGCTTTTTATGCTACTATTTGGTATAGAGTTACTTATTGCCGATACTGCCCGTCTTAACTCTTTTCTTCTTTCCTTTCTCCTATTGACATTTAACCTTACCCACTGCTCATCTATACGTTGATCATGATTTTTTGAGTTGTCACTCCATTTCCTTCGCATAGTTGTATTCAATTCAGTCTCCTTATGAGATTCCACCAACATATCTTTTGCATTGATCCTCTTAGATGTCTCGCCCACCTCAAATACAACCATTCTGTTGTTACTTTTTTCCAATTCTCTCTCCTATAGCAGCGTCAACTTATTTGGTACCTCCGTGGTCTCTTTCTCTCCTTTTTGTGCTTCAGTCTCCTTTTGATTTGGGCAGTGGGCTTCAATTGGATTCAGCCTACTTTCTTGCCACTTTGTTTCTTGATTTTTCTTTTCTACACCCTCCTGTACATGTCCTTTTTGTTTATTGTCTTGTTGGCTATTGGGTTGGCCCAAATTTTGACACCCATTGTCCTTTTGGTTATGCAATAGAGCTGCTAGCCCATAACCAGTGTTTTTATTTGCGTCATAGTCTCTTCCTGCAGTTCTTTCCTCCTGACCGTCCCCTATGACCCCTTTTCCATATAAATTCATCACATCATAGGATCTTTTAGAATCTGAAATCAGCTTTTGGTTGTCTCGTTGTCCTTCCACTACCCCTTGGGCAATACCTATTGGATTACTATTTGAATCTGCATCCCCTACGTCAACCTGTTGATTGTATCCATCGTCACTGTTAATCATCTGATGATTTTGCACCGTTTCCTCCACTATAGACCTCACCTCTCGTAGTGTTTCTGATGAGCATTCAGAATAGGAAGACTGAACTTCAATCCCAATATCACTAGCCACCCTAGATACTTCTGACATAGAATCGTTTATCTTCCACCTCCAACAATTACACTCTAGTGATTTTGAGACCTCTTCTTCAACCAGCTGCACTTGCTTAATGATTTCGTTGATTCTAATCCGCATAGTAACTTGAATCGGCTTATAAGATGTTGTTTGAATGAGTAGTCTTGCCCTATCCAACCTTTTGAAATTCGATGTATCACTGTCCATGTAGACAAGATTACCCATACTTCCCACCACTTGAGAGAAACAATCCAAATTCTAGTGTTGGACGGGTGCTCCAATACATCTTACCCACGTTACCCGATTCCCTGGCCACATTTCAGGTCTCCATCTGTCAATTGATGTAAACAACTCTATAAAACTATCATTTTCTTTCTGTATCATCTCCTCTATATCTTGCTCTTCTACCCCAGATATTAATACCATGTCATCATAGAGGTATCTTAGTTTGATGTCCTCCTTATCTCCCATCATTCGTGCCTCGATCAGGCGATCTACCATCGATAAATCCTTCAACTTTCCAACCTAGCAACTGTCCAGCCACTCGTTGTTCTCAGCTTTAACATTGATGTCTTGTCCCAGCCACCTACTACTTCCTTCGCCCTCTTCTGAATCCCACTTCTTCCTTTGTTTTTGTTGCCACAGTTTTTTTGTTGTTGATTTTCCTCCTTGCACCACTTCAGCATATGACCTTCCGTTGTTATCGCATATTTCTCTGTATTTTGTTTCCTCTTTGTTAGCTATCATCTTTAAACCGTCACTGATTTTGCTATTTCAGTCTCCCCTCTTGTATTTAGGGATATTAACGAACATTTTTACAGCCCAATACGTATCTGGTCAAGCTTATGTTCTAACACCTTATCATTCTCCACCCCCACAAACCTTACAAAATCGAATTTGAAGCCCTGTTGGTTACGTCTGCTAGCGATGAAAATCTCCCGAACCTGACCCTATCTCTGAAAGATCCTCCATAAGTCTACCTCCTTTATATACCCCAGAAATCTTGAGAAGAAAAAGGTAGATACTTTATCACTGGCCGACCCCACCGTATTGTTCCGACCTTGCTGATATTTTGTATATTCCCCTATTCATTGCATCATCCTCCTTTGTAACTATTCGTTGTATCTTAAATCACGCAATGTGCCTTTCGTGAGTTGTGAACCTAATCCCCAGCAATTTGTGCGCGCCACCGCAGGGCCTCCGCCGCGGCTCGCACCACCTCAAGTCCTTTGCTCCATGTTTACTGAGACACTTTCAACTGAGGAACTTGTTAGGCTTAGAGCGCCACCCAAGAGTGATGTACCAATTATTAACCCATTTAAACTTCCTAGGGCAGATGGTTTGGTGTTTGGCTTTCCAACAAGGTTTGGAATGATGGCTCTATGCCTGCGTATATGGATATATTGGGGAAAAAAAGAGAAAGAAGGTAAGGGTGGGAGGAATAACCTGCACTGTATCTTTACCTTTTAAAAAAGAGTTAATCATACACTGCCAGTGTAAAGTTTTTTTATACTGACAATCAATCATATCTTTTAATATTGGCATGTTAGTTGCTTATTTAATAAAATAATAATAAAATAAGCAACTTTAAAAGATATCATTGATTGTCAGTGTAAAAAACTTTACACTGGCAGTGTATAGATGATTAACTCTTTAAAAAATATTCTAAGATGATATATATTAAAAAAGAATTCTAATAGAAAATTATTATTCCAGCTCAACAAATGATATCCAGTTTGAGGTTTTTACATTAAATGTTCATATATAATTTTTTTTCTATAATAATCTTGCCTCATTTGACTAGAACATAAGATTTTCTCTTATGAAAAATAAAAATTGCATGTAGTTTATATCAAAATAAAATTTGAATATATAGATTTTCTATCAATATTTAAGTACATTGTTTGAAATTGGTTAAAATAAGTTTATAATCTTTATAATTTTATTTATTTTACTTTTTATATGTTATAATTTAAAATATACATTTTTAATCACTATACTTATCTTTTTTAATCTTTTTTGTCCCTATAATTAGAAATGAAATTTTTTATATCTTATAATTTAAAATATACATTTTTAATCACTATACTTATCTTTTTTAATCCTTTTTTGTCCCTATAATTAGGAATGAAAATTTTTATATCTTATAATTTAAAATATACATTTTTAATCACTATACTTATCTTTTTTTAATCCTTTTTGTCCCTATAATTAGGAATGAAAATAAGACAAACTTTAAATAATGGCATGTGATCTTACCTACTTAAAATCTAGTCTGACTTGATTTATTTAATAAAAAGGTCAAGTTTAAGTAATTAAAAAAATTATTTATTTAAAAAGACTGGATTTAAACTTTAAAAAAAATTTATCAGGTTTCAAAAATCAACTTATTTATCTATATAATATAACAAAAAAAAAATATACATATTACATCATTAACAATATGTTTAAATAAATTTGTAATATAAAGAATTAAATTATTAATATTTTTTGACCATTTTCACTAACTTAATTAAAAATATTCTCTTTGGATAAATAAAATTAAATTTATTGATCTATTTAACATCATTAACATAAAATAGGTTAATAGGTCAAATCAGATTTTTTAAAAAGTCATATCAATCCTAGAAAAAAGTGTATGATAAATAATAAGTAAAACTTATACTTTAATTTTATAGAACATGTCTAAGCTATTTATTCAAAGTCTGGTGTAACTTGACTTATTCTCATCCTTACCTATAGTTTAAGATAAATAATTTTAGTTTCTATACTTGCAATTTCTCAATCTCTTTTAATAATGTCTGTTTTGCATTAAAATGGTAAAAATCTTATAGGAATATAAGAAAATATCTCAACAATAGATATCACATATGATGATACAAAAAAAATAAAAAAATGTTAAAATATCTAATAAAATAAATTTAAAATCTGACATACAAAATTGAATTAATAACTATGTCATATCAACACATGAAAGAGACAACGATATATAAAAATTAACAACAAAAACTAAAAATGTTAAAAAATTACAAGTATATAAATAAAAAAATTTATCTTATAATATAAAGATTAAAAAATAAGTATAAGAAATAAAATGATTTATTATAAACTTTCAAAACTAAGAGATAAAGTAAAAAAATTATATAATTAAAAAATATTTTAACATTTGAAATTTAATAATTAAATTCCAAGCAAATGGACAAAAATGGCGCCCATGGTTCAAATGCACGGTAAAAGATTCAGTCCCTCGCACCGACGACGGCAAATGCAATTCCCTCCAAAACGACGTGTCTCTTTTCAATTCCTAAAAAGCCCTTCACCTTTTCCATTATTCCGAAGCCACCCCTCACGCGCATGCGCTGTCGACACCACGAAACGTCGCAGTCGTCCACACAGACGCTGCGCCAGCCACTAACTTTACGCCACGTGTCGCTGAAAACTCCCCTTCGAATGTCAGAACTTTCATCCACTGCCACGTGTCAGCCCCAGATAGATGCTCCCAGAAGCGCACTCTCTCTCTCTCTAGAATCTCTCCGCCCTTCAATTTCAAACGCACACTCTTCGACTTCACTGTCCCTCCCTTTTATTGAAACCAAACCTCGCTTTTTCTCTCCGCACTCGCTTTCTTTTTTTTCTCTCTCCTAGGGTTTGCTCCGCCATTGACCCACTGTTCACCGCAAGGTCAAGCTCAATTTACATGGGGGAGTTTCTCCCTTCTGTATCGCTCTTTGCATACCGCAAACCGCTAAGAAAATGAACAAGATTCCTTTTCTTTCTCGTTTGTGCTTCTTGTTGTCACGTGTCGATTTTGTGTGTTTGGCGTTCTGTTGATTGTTTTGATCATTTGCGTTTGTGTGGATCGTTATGGAGCAGAGTTAACCGTTGTTTTGACTTTGATGAGTTTGATCATTTGTCTTGGAAAAGAAAAAGTTTTAAGGGAGACTGAAGTTTTTTTGTTTTTTGTTTTTAATTAGAATAATTTCAGGGTGTTTGTTGTGTTGGAAATGGATGATTATGATTATATTTGGTGCATGCATGAGAGGTTTATTTATTTATTTATTTTTCTTGAATGGAATTTTGTGTGAGCAAGGAGGCTATGTGTTGACTTGGTAGAGGAAGTGAGGAAAGTTCTTTGACATCAATTTGTTTTAGAACTGGCAAGGAAAAGGGAATAAACTCCAAGATACTCTTTTTTCTATGTTTGCTTTTGTTAATCCAGGGGAGAGGTAAATAAGTTTGCTATCATTTTTGAAATTTCAATGATCTGCAACAGAGCAGGGTTTTACATCCTGTTTTTGGTTTCAGTTTTAGTTTGGTGATTTGAGGAGAAAAGTAAAATATCAGAAAGGGTATTAATGTATTATGACTATTTTCCGACCCTGCATGCATAATGCTTTTGTGGTACACTTATTGGGGTTTTCTTTGTCACCTGCTCCTCAGCCTTAAAAACGTTCAACACTATCTGGAAACACTATAATGATCTGTTATCCCTTTCAATCTTCTATGTTTTGAACTTCTGTTACCAGGTTTTTGGAATTGATTTGTGTTACATGCAACTGGAACTCTTTATTATATTTTTGCTCTGTCATGGGCGCATTAATGTTAGCTTTGTTGAAGACAACATGGTATAAGTATTTTATTATTAATATGCCTCTAAGAGTTGGATACTTTGATCTCTTCCTGACTAATTTGGAAAACACATTATTTTAGTATTTGCATTTTGTTGTGGGTTATGAATGCCTTGTTTGTAATCCTTTTGTATAGTTAATTGCTAAAGGTATAGATTTTTGCCTAAGATCCAAACTATCTGTTAATGAATGGAGAAATGTAAGCATGTAATTTATTAGTATTATTGTGGTTGTTTCATAAATTATGTGGATAACAAGTACATACGTTCATCATGTGCTTATGATTGGATTGTTTTCAAACATAATAATGGAGGTAAACTTCTTCATTATGATATGCCTTCTTAAATTTATTTTGAGATCTACATGATAATCTTCTTTTGTTTCCTTTATTTATTTTTAATCCATTTCAAGATGACGCCGTATATGGCAAGTTCAATAAAGTGTTCTGATTCTATATTTTTAGACTTTGCATATTTCCTACTACAAATTAGTTGTTGAAGGATTTGGCTTTTATTAATCGTTGGTAATCATTCAGATAAAGAAATTCCAACTTTGTACTGTGCTGCTATTTTCACCAGTACTGATATGGCTTTGTATACGAATATACAAAGTATATGTCATCGTTGTGACTTGTGAGTAGGTTGTTGAAAACGGGTATGAGTAGGTTAAAAGTAGGAAAATATTGAATCCATAAAGACTTTATCTCATCAACTAGATGACTGTTATTACTTTCTTATGTAATCCGGTGTTATAATTTTTTTTGCCTCTGTAAAATTACAGTATCCTGCAAGTTTGAATATCATATGATATGAGGTTCTCTGTTTTTTTTTTTTTTATTATTATTATTGTAGAACTGTAAAAAGAGGATAGTTAGAAGATAAATAAATATTAAAGCGGCAAGTGGTCATGGATAAACCAGAGCAGGCTCAACAACAGCACCACCAGCAACAACAGCATGTGATAGGAGTTGCTGCAGGTGCTAGCCAAATGGCCTATTCTTCCCACTACCAGACTGCTCCCATGATGGCTTCCGGCACACCCGCTGTAGCTGTTCCTTCCCCAACACAGCCTCCACCTGCCTTCTCTAGTTCCGCTCACCAGCTTGCGTACCAGCAAGCACAGCATTTCCACCATCAACAGCAGCAACACCAACAGCAGCAGCTTCAAATGTTCTGGTCAAACCAAATGCAAGAAATTGAGCAAACAATTGACTTTAAAAACCATAGTCTCCCACTTGCTCGGATAAAAAAGATAATGAAAGCCGACGAAGATGTCCGGATGATTTCAGCTGAAGCTCCAGTCATCTTCGCAAAGGCGTGTGAAATGTTCATATTAGAGTTGACACTGCGATCTTGGATCCACACAGAAGAGAACAAGAGGAGAACACTACAAAAGAATGATATAGCAGCTGCCATTTCAAGAAACGAAGTTTTCGATTTCTTGGTTGATATTATTCCAAGAGATGAGTTGAAAGAGGAAGGACTTGGAATAACCAAGGCTACTATTCCATTAGTGGGTTCTCCAGCTGATATGCCTTATTACTATGTCCCTCCACAGCATCCTGCAGGACCTCCTGGAATGATCATGGGAAAGCCGGTTGACCAAGCGGCGCTATATCCGACGCAGCAGCCTCGACCTCCCATGGCTTTCATGCCATGGCCCCATTCTCAACCGCAGCAACAGCAACCACCCCAACAACAACAAACAGACTCTTGATGATTATGTGCCAATTCAATTAGGTCGGGAAGTAGCACGCATCTTTTATTACAAATTTACTTAATGACATTCAGTTAGCTATAGTTAAGTGTTATGCATTGAAAAAGGCCAAAGATTGTTTCAGGTTTTTTGCACTCATTTATGATTGTATGAGCTCTAACGCTTATGAATTACTTGTGGTTGTGTTTACCTGAGGTACTGGTTTGATAGTGAATTAGTTTGCAGTTGTCCATAACTAGTGACCGTAGCTGCTTCATTAGGAGTTTGAAATGATGAAATGTTGCAGAAGCTAGGTTTAATTCAGTATTTCATTCCACTATAATGGCTGAATTTAATGCTCGTCTGCTTAGTACTACTTTTTTAATTTTATTTTCTCTAGTAACTCGTTGAAGAAGAATGAGTGGTATATTTATTCTTCCCCTGTTCTTCCAGAGCCATACCCCCGATAAACATATCGATCGGATCATTTCATTTCATTTCCAAGTAAGTTGAATATAATTTTCGACACTGAATGCTATAAATGAAAAACAAAAAACAAACTAGTTCGTGTTTCTTGATTAAAATCTTATAATAGATCTAGACCGTGTTTCTTGATTAAAATCTTATAATAGATCTAGACCATTTTTTCTATAATAGTTAATAATGCATACTTGTTTTTGTTTAAATGTATTGTTTACTTGTTAAGTTACGAGTTTAATTAGCATGCAAGATAATATTTTCCATCAATAACAAATTAGTTGGCATGACTTTTAAAGATATCATAGTTAACAAATTAATTAAATATAGTGATTTCATTTGATTTCCAGGTAACTTGAATATAATTTTTGACGTTGAATGCTATGAATGAAAAACAAAAATAAACTAGTTCGTGTTTCTTGATTAAAATCCTATAATAGATCTAGACCATTTTTTTTATAATAGTTAATAATCCATACTTGTTCTTGTTTGAATGTATTGTTTGCTTGATAAGTTACGAATTTAATGAATATGCAAGATAATATTTTTCATCAATAACAAATTAGTTAACATGACTTTTAAAGATATCATAGTTAACAAATTAATTAAATATAGTGATTTCATTTGATTTCCAAGTAATTTGAATATAATTTTCGACGCTGAATGCTATGAATGAAAAATAAAAAATAAAGTAGTTTGTGTTTCTTGATTAAAATCCTATAATAGATCTAGACCATTTTTTCTATAATAGTTAATAATGCATAATTGTTTTTGTTTAAATGTATTGTTTGCTTGATAAGTTACGAGTTTAATGAACATGCAAGATAATATTTTCTATCGGTAACAAATCAGTTGGCATGACTTTTAAAGATATCATAGTTAACAAATTAATTAAATATAGTGATTTCATTTGATTTCCAGGTAACTTGAATATAATTTTTTACGCTGAATGCTATGAATGGAAAATAAAAAACAAACTAATTCGTGTTTCTTGATTAAAATCCTATAATAGATCTAGACCATTTTTTCTATAATAGTTAATAATGCATACTTGTTTTTGTTTAAATGTATTGTTTACTTGATAAGTTACGAGTTTAATTAACATGCAAGATAATATTTTCCATTAATAACAAATCAGTTGGCATAACTTTTAAAGATATCATAGTTAACAAATTAATTAAATATAGTGATTTCATTTGATTTCCAGGTAATTTGAATATAATTTTCGACGTTGAATGCTATAAATGAAAAACAAAAATAAACTAGTTCGTGTTTCTTGATTAAAATCCTATAATAGATCTAGACCATTTTTTCTATAATAGTTAATAATACATACTTGTATTTGTTTAAATGTATTGTTTGCTTGATAAGTTACGAGTTTAATGAATATGCAAGATAATATTTTTCATCAATAACAAATCAGTTGACATGACTTTTAAAGATATCATAGTTAACAAATTAATTAAATATAGTGATTTTATTTGATTTCCAAGTAACTTGAATATAATTTTCGACGTTGAATGCTATGAATGAAAAACAAAAAATAAAGTAGTTTGTGTTTCTTGATTAAAATCCTATAATAGATCTAGACCATTTTTTCTATAATAGTTAATAATGCATAATTGTTTTTGTTTAAATGTATTGTTTGCTTGATAAGTTACGAGTTTAATGAACATGCAAGATAATATTTTCTATCATTAACAAATCAGTTGGCATGACTTTTAAAGATATCATAGTTAACAAATTAATTAAATATAGTGATTTCATTTGATTTCCAGGTAACTTGAATATAATTTTTTACGCTGAATGCTATGAATGGAAAATAAAAAACAAACTAATTCGTGTTTCTTGATTAAAATCCTATAATAGATCTAGACCATTTTTTCTATAATAGTTAATAATGCATACTTGTTTTTGTTTAAATGTATTGTTTGCTTGATAAGTTACGAGTTTAATGAACATGCAAGATAATATTTTCCATTAATAACAAATCAGTTGGCATAACTTTTAAAGATATCATAGTTAACAAATTAATTAAATATAGTGATTTCATTTGATTTCCAGGTAACTTGAATATAATTTTCGACGCTGAATGCTATGAATGAAAAACAAAAAATAAACTAGTTCGTGTTTCTTGATTAAAATCCTATAATAGATCTAGATCATTTTTTCTATAATAGTTAATAATGCATACTTGTTTTTGTTTAAATGTATTGTTTGCTTGATAAGTTACGAGTTTAATGAACATGTAAGATAATATTTTCCATCAATAACAAATCAGTTGTCATGACTTTTAAAGATATCATAGTTAACAAATTAATTAAATATAGTGATTTCATTTGATTTTCAGGTAACTTGAATATAATTTTTGACCTTGAATGCTATGAATGAAAAACAAAAAACAAACTAGTTTGTGTTTCTTGATTAAAATTCTATAATAGATCTAGACCATTTTTTCTATAATAGTTAATAATGCATACTTGTTTTTATTTAACTGTATTGTTTGTTTCATAAGTTACGAGTTTGATGAACATGCAAGATAATATTTTCCAATAAATAACAAATCAATTAGCATGACTTTTAAAGATATCATAGTTAACAAATTAATTAAATATAGTGATTTTTTTAATTATAAAAATACTGCATTGTCAATTCATATTTTTTTTTCTTGTCATATGTTAATAATTGAATATAGATTAATCTACCTTTATCTATTAAATTAAAACAATTAGAGCATTTTTAGTGTTTTCTTTTTGACCAATGTTTAAAGTTTTTAGTTACTTTTGTTCATTCAGAGAGTTTTTAAAAATTCTTTAAGTATCTATTTTAATTTTTATTTATCATATTTATTTATAATTAATTTAATATATTTATAAATAATTAAAAAAATCTTATATTATAATATAAATATTTATAAAAAATTTAAGATATAATTTTTATCTTTAAAAATATAAATATAAATTATACTTTTAGATTTATGACAAATAATTTATGTTGTGATATAATATTTTTTAATAATTAATAATTTATTTTAAAAATTTTAAAATTTAATAGATAAATAAATATGATAAATAATAATTGAATTGGACAAGAAGGTGAGAGTTTGAAAAAAAAAATCCTTTATTAAAGAAAAGTACTTATAATGATTTCGTTAAAGAGAAGTTCTTAAAATTATTTTTTTGAAATATAATTATTTTCATTTAATATGTAATAACATATAAAGAGAATATTTTCTTTTAGTGTCCATTTTTTGAATGATGATTGTACTCTTATGTCATATTCTATTTTTTCTACCAAAATATATATATATAATTACCTACTTATCTTATTTTATTTCCACAAAAAATACTTATTTTCCTTGCTAATTTATACAAAAATGGATATTTATCTTGTGTGTTGCACATGTTAAAATACTAGTTTATATTATGATATAATGTTATTTTAATCACAACATAAATATTTTTAGTCTTAACAAAATAAACAGATTTTGATTTTGTTCTTTATAAATATTTTTTTAACCTTACAAAATTTATAAAAATTATTTTTGTTCTGGTGAAATGGGAAAATTCTAGGTTTGATATCTGTAAAATATTTTTCTAGTTGTATTTAACAATCAAAATAAGGTACATAAATAATATTTTTTTAAGGTTTTAAAACCTTTTTTTTTTTAGAGGTATTGACATAGTATCACCAATAATTATGGTGATACATGGAAATATACGTCACTTAACTTTTTAATAAAGATACAAGTAATTAAAAACTGACATAATACTAGAGATTAAAACAATAATTATAAAATCTAGATAGATAATATTTTTATGAGAATTAAAATAAAAAATATACTCATTTTATTTGAATTAAAAACATAATTGTAATACTTTTATGATTTGTTTGATGGCGATTTTAGAACAAGATTAAATACAATATAAGACTTGAAAAAGTCCGATAAAACAAGATTATGATAATCTCTTACCATCTAATATTTGACGCATGGCAAATAAACTATTGGAAAACATATATGTTATCAAATTTATAAAATTAGGATTTTTTTTTGTTACAAAACAATATTTTGTGTGTGCACGTGTATGTATGAACATGCATGTGTGTGCATGCATGTATGTTTTATTTTGTGTTGTTATGTTGTTTTATGATGATTTAAAATTTCAATGATTAAGAAATTATTAAGAGTTTAGTTGTTTAAAGTTATTTTGGGTTGAGGTCAAAGTTGACGAAGAATGAGAGAAGGAATAGACTTTTGGAGAACTTGAATTTCATAAGTTCATTCCTCAAAATTTTAGAGAGAAATTTAATTTAAAGAGATAATCCTAGAGCCAAGGAAATTTTTTTCTTCTTTTGACTTCACAAGGAGTATCTAAATCATTCCCTAGAGCAGAGATTGTGCAGGTAGAGTAGATATTCAAACTAAGGAGCTGAGAATCAAAGATAGAAGTTGTCGTATGATGAGTTTCAAAAGTTTTCATTCTTCATTGTGCATCCCTTTTTCCTTGATTTTTGTAGTAATTGAGGTACATGGAGTTTGTAATTTTCTTCATATCCTGAGTTTTTATGATATTGACTATTGTTGAGTTGATTATCCATTGGTTGCATTTGTGTTGAATATGAGAAGTTGTTGATTCATGGCCTTATGATTTTTGGATGTTTTGGATTTTGAATAAAGATTGATGATTTTGTACACTACAAGAATTTTGCAGATTAGCGAGGGAATTTAGCGAGGGATATAATTCCTCTCTAATCCCTTGCTAATTAGCGAGCAAATAGCTTGGATTTATATCCCTAGCTAAATTTCCTTGCTATTTTGCGACCAACCTTTGTCTCCTCGCAAATCCTTCGCTAAAGTTAGTGCTTCTTTAGCAAGAAACTTAGTCCCTCGCAAATACCTTGCAAATCCCTCTCCAAATTATGAGCCAAAATAAA